GTCTAGAATACCATCTCAACGCTAAAAATGGGTTTAAAGACGCGTTCACTTGAGGTCAGACATCCGGCTAAAGCTACGGTTGATTAGCTGAAAGTCTCTGAGGCTTGAACTGAGTTGTCTGCGAGTTTTTGGACATTTGATAAGTAAACTGCAGAAGTGTCCCAGCAGGCAGTGCTTTATTTGACCTTCAGCACTCTAAAGTGCAGCTGCAGTACAAAGACATTAACATAACCACAATGAATTGGTAATTTTCTTCTTTTTTCTTGTTGAAGAGCCAGCCTTGAGTCGTCAACATCTGCTTCCCTTTCCATTCAAGAAACAATGTCTAGAGGGACAGCTATTATTCATGTTCCTTGACAAGTAAAATAGAAATCTGTCACATTTATCACTCCAGATACAAAGGGACCATATTTGATGGCCCTACTTTTTATGTAGGGTTTACCGAAACTTGACAATTTAACTGAATGTAGCTGAAAACAGAAAGACAGCAAAAGTCTCTCAGTTCATGGCATTTCTGAATATTAACCTGATGTGCACACACACGTGTTGGAAACACACATGCATACATATAAATATAGTCCGTTCTCAGACCCTGGAGACTTCTGTGACTGAAGCCAGTGTTCATTCAATATGTCCAGGAAGAGCTGAATGTTAACTACCTGTCAAGGCTGTCTGCCCTTCTGTCTCCCTCCCTGATTAGGATCAGAGTGTTGATCACAGTCACCTGTGTCCTGTGCTCTGCTGGTCTCATTAGCCTCACTCATCTCACCTGGTGCCCTAGGTATATAAACCTCCCTCTCCCTAAGTCTCACTTTGGCTCTTCATTGTTGTTGTGTGTCTGTTCACTGCTGAAGTTGCTTTTGTTGTTTTTTTATTTCTGTTTATTCAGTTCTATGCCCCGCCCCCCCTGCCTCCCCCTTTTTTTTGTCTGTTGAGTTTCTGTTTTTTGTTTTGGATTTGCACAGTAAATAACAGGACCAGATTCCTGTCTGCATTGTTCCTGAGGGTTCAGTGGCAATTGATAGGCCTCGGAGTTAAATATGAGAAAGGTCAAAATGTGGAGAGGGACCTAGTGAAATGTTGCAGGCTTGACAATTTGGAGCAGTTATATTCAGTCACCAACCCTCGGGAGGCCATTTTTCCCCCTTTCAAAGTGCTTAGTTCTGTCTCTCCTGCAATCTTTTGGCTCTGCAAGTCTTTCTTTCTGTGTCTACCTCCATCTCCCCCCGATCTGTCTG